GTCTCCATTAGAGTTAAACTATACGTGTCAAAGTAGCTAAGCCTTTAGGTCTATGGTGTTAATTCTGGTGAGGGTTTGCTATGGTTCTATTTTATTTCACACTTTTCTAAACTAACCTCTTTGCTATGTAATGGTTTGCTTTGAAAAGGACTGAACTGGCATCATTGGGTGACTGAAGTTTCAACGGGTCCACCTTGCATCACAGTGGACCTACTTAGGCATTTTTTTTTTTTTTTTTGAGAGACAGCGATAGTGACAGAGATAGTGAGAGAGAGCATGAGCAAGAGGCAGGGTGAGGGAGAGGGAGATGCAGACTCCTCGGTGAGCAGGGAGCCAGACGTGGGGCTCTATCCCTGGACCCTGGGATTATGACCTGAGCTGAAGGCACACACCTAGCCAATTGAGCTACCCAGATGCTCCCTACTTAGGCATTCTTAACAGCATTACAGTTACCAGTTCAACCCAGTTGACTAAATGCCTGCACGAGTCCAGCTGTCTGTTTTGTCCATGCCTCCACTCCACCAGCTGAGCTCTGATGGAGAAAACCAATCAGCAGAAAAGTTTGGTGCCATTAGGCATTCATAAATCTCAATCTGGAATGGCCCCTCAACTCGGCCTAGGCATGCTATTGTTTCTTTGATCACTTTGCTTTCTCCCTTCCACAAAGACTACTTCAAACTCTATTCATTCTCTTCAAATTTCTCCTATAATTTTTCTTGTTCTGAGCAGATGACCCCCTCTCCTACTGCAGAGAGAAAGTAAAAGTCATAAAGTGGGAACTCATCTTCCCTTCAGCAACTTTACATAAGTATCTGGATTTCCACCCATCTCCGTTCTAGCCTGTTCCAGTAAAGGAGGAGCACTTCCTCTCATTATCTAAGTTCAATCTCTCCAATGTGTCTGATCCTCCTGTCGTCCTTCCCATTTTCACTCTTAATTCAACTAATGCTATCAACTCTTTCTCTCTTCTCTCTCTTTGGCCTCTCTCTTTATTCTTTCATTTTTGCAAAACATGTAAACCTGCTGAAACCATCATTAGAAACAAACCCAACAAAATCCTTCATCTTATTTTCCCTTCTAGCAATGGCCATATGTCTCACCTCTTCTTCATAGCCTAATTTCTTAAGTCATTTGATTTTGTAAGGCTAACTAGAGACACTCCTCATGGATGCTGAAGTGTATAGTCACTGCAAAGTGGAAGAACTTGAAGAAAATATGGAAACAGCTGTAGACCACCACAGTGTACGTGGGCTTTGTGCCTAGATTTAATCCAAGGGGCAGGGGCCATAGGTGACACATGAGATCTGCCAGCCTGTGATGAACTGGGCAATATGAGCAATATGGCATATGTGTGGGTCTGGAATCAGTTTCTTTATTTGAAAATTTTAAATGACAACATTTACTTTGCAGCATTGTTCTGGGGATGAAATGACCTAATGGGTGTAAAGCTACTTGTCACGGTATATGCCCAATAAATTTTACCTATTATTATTTTTGCAATTGTAATTATGTTGTCAGATGGGCAGATCTGCCCAACCAAATATGAAAGCATACATATTCAACACAGAAATAAATGTAAAGTAATACAGCTGTCTTGGAACTATATGTTGGCTAGTGCTTTAGACATTCATTCGTTCATCATTCATTCATCAGGAAACATGTATCAGAAACTTTGCCAGGAATTAGGGATTACAAAGAAGAGTAAGACAAAATCTGTTGTCAATGACCTCTCAGTTTTAGGACAGTCAAAGCATAAGCATGTAATTATAATATAGTGTGCTAAGTGCAGTGATTGATCAACCTAGGGTATTTTGGGAGTTCAAAGAAGGAAGCATACAGCTTGGGCTCAAGTACATCCTGGATCTGGTTCTTAAAGTGAGTCGATAGATGTTAGCAGAAGAAAGAGAGGAGGGGCAGGAAGGGAGAAGATTTGAAAGTCCCTCGGTCCATGCAGTTCAACTCAAAGACTGGAATCTCGTGCTTTGTTTGATTTTAAAAAATTGTACTCCTAAAAAGTTATTTGAAATTCATTGGCCTATTTGAATGATATGTAAAGAACAAGGTATTACATGATAATAGGAGGATGAGTCAAAACTTTTTTGCATTGGGAGTGGAACATACCAGGAATTGCTGTAGGCAGAGTGACACAATGTATTTGAAGGAACCTGGTTCTCGGAGCCCAGAGAAGCTACCACCACTGATAAAACTACCTGGGTGATGTCACCATGGTTCTCAGCTTTAATGGTGCTGGAAGTTGACCGCCGGCTAACCCCTTGAGGATGACCAATCCCTTGAGGACTGGTTCAATTTAAAAATTAGAGATAAATTTATAGGCTACAAGGCATTCACTAATAATCAGAAATATGAAATTTATACAGACTCAAATACTCACCCTGTCATGATTGGTACATTTCTTCAGACGGGCATGCTAAGCACTTGTCTCTTGGGATCCTGAAATCAGAACAAAAGGAGTTAGCTGGAGTGGGCTGCTCCCTCTGGTTCACACAAGGGGCTGAGCAATATGGGCTCAATTTCCTGTTCTGATTCTTCAAAAACTTAATCTATTTGATTTCATAGATTCACACATTCTCATTGTTGAGGTTATTTGAAAGATGAGATCTGGAGACAGGGGCAGGTCTTAGGCTGAGAAACACCTAACGAGACTGCATTTTGAAATAGGTACAAACAGCACATGCTCAGCCAGTGCCGTGAACTGAACTCATGGTAAGACTTCAGGGGAAAGAAATTTGCATGGGAGAATATGCCTGCCAAATGATCAGTGCAATATTGGCTATGAGAGTGAAGTATCTCTGAATCTGTGAGAGCTAGGTAAATTATATTCATGTAAATTCAGAGTATTATTCATATTATCCATTTACATAAAATAATTAGATGTTGATGTATAGAAAAAAGGTATGGAAGTATATATAAAATATTATGAGTGGTTTTCCTATATAAAAAAACATATATGGAAACATGTGTTTTTATTTTTTTTTTGCCTTATCTGTGATTTCAAGATTTTCTGAAATAAAGATGTGCTATTTATGCAATAAAGAATCATAAATTAGAAAAAATTCGCTTAAGAGATAAAAGACTGAATGTCTTCCACACTCTCCGGAACAACTATTATTAATGTAGCATGGATGACATTAGACACCAACAAGTGAAGACCATGAGTAACACTGTGGAGGAGAGTGGAAAGAGGGATCATTCAAAGGAGCATGGGGGTAATGATGCTACAGAGAAAGGGATTTCTTTTCAGTCTGGATGAAAAACTGGAAAGGACTATTTTTAGTAGAGGAATTTGAAAGGTTCCTCCCATTGGCACAGCCAGCACCAAAAATGTTTCCTCTTGCATAGGATAATAATAATCTGGGCACGCTTGATCAGAGCAGCAAGTACCAATACAATCAATTTGCCAAACTCTCACCAGTCGGGAACTCCAGTGGATGGTCCTAGACTCCTTTGGCAGTTGCCTTGGCCATTGTTCAGAACACATGAGACATGCTGTCACCGCATTAATCAGCTCACTGTATTTCAAGGGCAACCCAGCATCCTTGGCAATATGCCATCCCACCCAGGTGCAATGGTGGCCTTTCTTTCTGTGCACCCAATCAGCTGTATCTACTGCAGGCTCAGTTGCTAGGGCTCTCTGGGGGTAAATTGGGTTTCTTTGCCCTTCCAGTGCTAGGACCAAAACTCTAGACGCACTCTCTCCTTCTGTTGTCTCTGTCACAGTGCCTGACCCATCCCTTCTGGAGTCACAGACACATGTAATTCAAATGCTAGCTCTGCTTGGGAGATGCCCAGAGCTTTCATCTGCTTCACTAGAACGTTTGCCTCCTCAAAGGCGCTTGCTGCTTTGATTCCCCGTCTTTCATGTGCCTTTTCTTTACTCGGCAGGATAAGGGATGGAGGCACTGTGCCAGGTGGGGAATAAAAGTCCTCCACACCCCCAAATCCCTACAAAGGCCTGGACCTCCTTCACATTCCTAGGGGTTGAATAAGCTTGCAACGTATCCATCACAGCTTCTGAGACAACTTGTGTCTTACCTGACCCTATGACTCCCAACACCTTATGGTGGTACCTGGGCCTTGAATTCTCTGTGGGTTCACTGCCCATCCTCTCCCTCACAAATGTCCCAGCAAAGCCTGCAAGGTGCCCTGCAACAGAGGCAAACCTTCACATGTTAGCAGCATATCATCAATGTAATGGGCCCATTGTACTGATGTGGGGAAGGACAACAGGGACAGAGCTTGGGCTGCCATCCCATGACATTAGGTGGGGCTGTGCAGGTTGGGGAAGCCCTTGAGAGGCCCATTGTTGCCCCTCCCAGGTGAAGGCAAATTGATCTTGTGACTAGGGTGCCAACGGTTCTCTGAAAAAGGCCTTTGCTAAGTCCAGCACAGCTTTGTACACTCCTAGGACCCAGACCAATGTATTCAAGGTGGCGGCCATGTTGGGCACGGCCACATGGATGGGCGGCACTACCTTGTTCAGTTCTCAGCTGTCCACTGTCATCTGCCATGAAGCTTATTTACAGGCCATACTGGGCTATGGAAAGCACTCTGGGCAGGGAGTACAATACCCAGTTGCGGGAGTTCTTGGATAGTTTCTCCTATCTCCTTATGCCCCCAGGGAATTTATATTGTTTGACAGTTACCACCCCTCATGGGGGTGGCAGGCTTACTGGTTGGCATTTCCTCTGCGCACTGGCTTGATTACTCTAACCTAGAGGTGCAATTCATCAATACAGGTTTGCAGAATTTGGCTTTGGAGGGTATCAATGCCCAGTATGTTCTCTGGTATTGGAGAGATAAAAGTCTCATGTTTTTGGGCAGGGGTGGGGAACACCACATTTGCAGGGTCAAAAGGACCTTTCTGACCATAACTGTTTGTCCTCCATAATCATCGATGGCGCTGAGGGGGGGCCAGGAAACTTCTGAGGGTTACCATGTGCCAGCATCCACCAGAGCCATCACCCTTTTCTTATTTCCAGAGAACCAGTGAATAGCGAGCTCTGCATGAGGCTTCTGGTCAGCTCTAATGACCCTCACCTGGAGGTAATCTTGGCTTGCATCCTATCCCTGGGGCATGGGAGGCACCCACCCTAAATAAGATTGTATCCCTGAGGCCTCTGCTGGAGCAGGTGGGGCATCAGGGATGGTAGAGGCAAATGGGGCCGGTGTGAACTGTTGTTTTGGCTTTCAGGCTTTCCGCAGGACAGCCAACATGGCATTGGGTTGTTGGTCCATCTGTTCAGATGGGATCCCCGCCACAGTGAGGTCAAACCACACTTGTTTCCAGGTTACTTTCATTGGACCCTTTACAGCCTTTTGGCTTTTCCAGCTTCCTCTCTGTCTTGGGTCTTTTCCATAGCCCCATACTCATTCCTGGGATTTGTCAGTCTCCCCCAGATCAGCAATGGATCAGCCAGCACTATCAATGTCTCTCTCACGACTGGGCTCAGCAGGGATATCAGCATCCCACACCAGATGCTGGGGTGGAGAATCTTAGTTTTCACTCCTGCAGTGAATGTGGCCTGATGAGGGCCTTCAAAGACAGGGGCGTGGATGGTCTGTCTCATTTCCAACTTCCTAAGAATTTCCTTTTCCTTTTCTTTTTCTTTTTCAACAGATCCTGCTTCAGGTTCATTTATACAAATAGCACAGGAGGACACAAGCCCCTGCAGATAGCCCCCTGACACAAGCCCAGGGGTCACACCAGTCCTTCTCTCCTCACAGCAGCAGATAGAAGCCTCTACACTGGAGTCTTCTTTGGGGCCTGGGCCCCTTTAGGAGCCAGAGCCTCAAGAGCAGCCTGAGCCTTGGTTTGAGCCTTGGCCTTGGAATTTGGCCGGCAAGCCCATTTCCAGAGCATGGGGTAAGTGATGTAAGCAAGTTGGCCGAGCTCACGGCTGCTCCCATTTGGGATCGTGGCTTTATCAGGGCCTTGACAGCCTTGGCACATACCCTCAGAGCCTTGGCGTTGTTCATCTCCATCTACTTTAGGCCCTTCTTATGTTTCTTTGCTAAGTGTAGGTTCCTCAGGAAGTTGGGTCCACCCTCTTAAGAGATTCATATCTTTGTGATGGGGTTTCTTGATGTCACTTCTGTGCCATTTTCGGCACTGGTTGTGGGTGGTGTGGTTCTTGGATTGGGCAATGTCTGTACTGAAGCTCCCGGCTCCCGAAGCATCTGGGACTGGAAGAGAAAGAGGAAGCTCTGAAAATTTCTTGTACCTCCTTTAAAGATGTCCAGGGGCCCAGGGGCCCAAGGAGGTCCTCCTCATTGGGCTGAGCCTCCCTGCAGGCTAGACTAATCCGATCTCTAAAGAGTGAGGCCTGAGGGCAGTGGATGTGGTCTATGTTGCTCATTTTCCCTGCCTCTCCTAGCTGCGCTAACTACACCTGGAGACTTTTCTGGGCCTTTTCACAGGAACTAGGCAGCTATAGCAATAAGTTTGGTGGGAGTAGATTCTCTGTTCATGAACATTCCCTGAATTGGGGGCTCCCCACTGGCTGGGGTTGCTGTTGCTGGGCTTGGGCTTTCCTTTGTGTTTGGGGTGGGATGGCGGGGGTGTTCCATTGGCTGCACTGTTGATCACCCCGCCTCCCCGTCACTCTGCTTACCTTCCCAGGGGTGCTCTTTGCCCTAGTATGCTAGGTGCAGGTTCTCAAACAAGTGTGATAAAGCAGTTTTTGGGGTATCCCCATACTCACACGCGGTCCCCAGGCCTCTAACCTATGGGAACACCTTCCCACAAAGAAGGGATCCCTGCCACCCACCCTCTGTTTTTGATTTTATTTTATTTTATTATGTTATGTTAATCACCATACATTACATCATTAGTTTTTGATGTAGTGTTCCATGATTCATTGTTTGCGTATAACACCCAGTGCTCCATTCAGTGTGTGCCCTCTTTAATACCCATCACCAGGCTAACCCATCCCCCCACCCCCCTCCCCTCTAGAACCCTCAGTTTGTTTCTCAGAGTCCATAGTCTCTCATGGTTTGTCTCCTCCTCCGTTTCCCCCCACTTCATTTTTGCTTTCCTGCTATCTTCTTTTTTTTTTTTTAAACATATAATGTATTATTTGTTTCAGAGGTACAGGTCTGTGATTCAACAGTCTTACACAATTCACAGCGCTCACCTAGCACATACCCTCCCCAATGTCTATCACCCAGCCACCCATCCCTCCCACCCCCCCACCACTCCAGCAACCCTCAGTCTGTTTCCTGAGATTAAGAATTCCTCATATCAGTGAGATCATATGATACATGTCTTTCTCTGATTGACTTATTTCACTCAGCATAATACCCTCCAGTTCCATCCACGTCGTTGCAAATGGCAAGATTTCATTCCTTTTGATGGCTGCATAATATTCCATTGTATATATATACCACATCTTTTTTATCCATTCAGCTATCGATGGACATCTTGGCTCTTTCCATAGTTTGGCTATTGTGGACATTGCTGCTATAAACATCGGGGTGCATGTACCCCTTCGGATCACTACATTTGTATCTTTGGGGTAAATACCCAGTAGTGCAATTGCTGGGTCGTATGGTAGCTCTATTTTCAACTTTTTGGGGAACCTCCATACTGTTTTCCAGAGTGGCCGCACCAGCTTGCATTCCCACTAAGAGTGTAGGAGGGTTCCCCTTTCTCCGCATCCCTGCCAACATCTGTCGTTTCCTGACTTGTTAATTTTAGCCATTCTGACTGGTGTGAGGTGGTATCTCATTGAGATTTTGATTTGGATTTCCCTGATGCCGAGCGATGTTGAGCACTTTTTCATGTGTCTGTTGGCCATTGGGATGTCTTTGGAAAAATGTCTGTTCATGTCTTCTGCCCATTTCTTGATTGGATCATTTGTTCTTTGGGTGTTGAGTTTGGTAAGTTCTTTATAGATTTTGGATACTAGCCCTTTATCTGATATGTCATTTGCAAATATCTTCTTCCATTCTGTCAGTTGTCTTTTGGTTTTGTTGACTGTTTCCTTTGCTGTGCAAAAGCTTTTTATCCTGATGAAGTCCCAATAGTTCATTTTTGCCCTTGCTTCCCTTGCCTTTGGCAATGTTTCTAGGAAGAAGTTCCTGTGGCTGAGGTCGAAGAGGTTGCTGCCTGTATTCTCCTTTAGGATTTTGATGGACTCCTGTCTCACATTTAGGTCTTTCAACCATTTTGAGTCTGTTTTTGTGTGTGGTGTAAGGAAATGGTCCAGTTTCATTCTTCTGCATGTGGCTGTCCAATTTTCCCAACACCATTTGTTGAAGAGACTGTCTTTTTTCCATTGGACATTCTTTCCTGCTTTGTCAAAGATTAGTTGACCATAGAGTTGAGGGTCCATTTCTGGGCTCTCTATTCTGTTCCATTGATCTATGTGTCTGTTTTTGTGCCAGTACCATGCTGTCTTGATGATGACAGCTTTGTAATAGAGCTTGAAGTCTGGAATTGTGATCCCACCAGCTTTCTTTTCTTTTTCAATATTCCTCTGGCTATTTGGGGTCTTTTCTGGTTCCATACAAATTTTAGGATCATTTGTTCCATTTCTTTGAAAAAAGTGGATGGTATTTTGATAGGGATTGCATTAAATGTGTAGATTGCTCTAGGTAGCATTGACATCTTCACAATATTTGTTCTTCCCATCCATGAGCATGGAACGTTTTTCCATTTCTTTATGTCTTCCTCAATTTCTTTCATGAGTATTTTATAGTTTTCTGAGTACAGATTCTTTGCCTCTTTGGTTAGATTTATTCCTAGATATCTTATGGTTTTGGGTGCAATTGTAAATGGGATCGACTCCTTAATTTCTCTTTCTTCTGTCTTGTTGTTGGTGTATAGGAATGCCACTGATTTCTGTGCATTGATTTTATATTCTGCCACTTTACTGAATTCCTGTATGAGTTCTAGCAGTTTTGGGGTGGAGTCTTTTGGGTTTTCCACATAAAGTAGCATATCATCTGCAAAGAGTGAGAGTTTGACTTCTTCTTTGCCAATTTGGATGCCTTTGATTTCTTTTTGTTGTCTCATTGCTGTGGCTAGGACTTCTAATACTATGTTGAATAGCAGTGGTGATAGTGGACATCCCTGCCATGTTCCTGACCTTAGCGGGAAAGCTCTCAGTTTTTCCCCATTGAGAATGATATTCGCTGTGGTTTTTTCATAGATGGCTTTTAGGATATTGAGGTATGTACCCTCTATCCCTATACTCTGAAGAGTTTTGATCAAGAAAGGATGCTGTACTTTGTCAAAAGCTTTTTTTGCATCTATTGAGAGGATCATATGGTTCTTGTTCTTTCTTTTATTAATGTATTGTACTACATTGATTGATTTGCGGATGTTGAACCAACCTTGCAGCCCAGGGATAAATCCCACTTGGTTGTGGTGAATAATCCTTTTAATGTACTGTTGGATCCTATTGGCTAGTATTTTGGTGAGAATTTTGGCATACATGTTCATCAAAGATATTGGTCTGTAATTCTCCTTTTTGATGGGGTCTTTGGTTTGGGGATCAAGGTATTGGTGGCCTCATAAAATGAGTTTGGAAGTTTCACTTCCATTTCTATTTTTTGGAACAGTTTCAGAAGAATAGGTATTAATTCTTCTTTAAATGTTTGGTAGAATTCCCCTGGGAAGCCATCTGGCCCTGGGCTTTTGTTTGTTGGGAGATTGTTGATTACTGCTTCAATTTCCTTGCTGGTTATGGGTCTGTTAAGGTTTTCTATTTCTTCCTGGTTCAGTTTTGGTAGTTGATACATCTCTAGGAATGCATCCATTTCTTCCAGATTATCTAATTTGCTGGCATATAGTTGCTCATAATATGTTCTTATAATTGTTTGTATTTCTTTGGTGTTGGTTGTGATCTCTCCTCTTTCATTCATGATTTTATTTATGTGGGTCATTTCTCTTTTCTTTTTGATAAGTTTGGCCAGGGGTTTATCAATCTTACTAATTCTTTCAAAGAACCAGCTCCTAGTTTCGTTGACCTGTTCTACTGTTCTTTTGGTTTCTATTTCATTGATTTCTGCTCTGATCTTTATTATTTCTCTTCTCCTGCTGGGTTTAGGCTTTATTTATTTGCTGTTCTCTCTCCAGCTCCTTTAGGTGTAGGGTTAGGTTGTGTACTTGAGACCTTTCTTGTTTCTTGAGAAAGGCTTGTATTGCTATATACTTTCCTCTTAGGACTACCTTTCCTGCATCCCAAAGATTTTGAACAGTTGTGTTTTTATTTTCATTGGTTTCCATGAATTTTTTTAAATTCTTCTTTAATTTCCTGGTTGACCCATTCATTCTTTAGTAGGATGCTCTTTAGCCTCCATGTATTTGAGTTCTTTCCGACTTTCCTCTTGTGATTGAGTTCTAGTTTCAAAGCATTGTGGTCTGAAAATATGCAGGGAATGATCCCAATCTTTTGGTACCAGTTGAGGCCTGATTTGTGACCTAAGATGTGATCTATTCTGGAGAATGTTCCATGGGCACTAGAGAAGAATGTGTATTCTGTTGCTTTGGAATGGAATGTTCTGAATATATCTGTGAAGTCCATTTGGTCCAGTGTGTCATTTACAGTCTTTACTTCCTTGTTGATCTTTTGCTTAGGTAATCTGTCCATTTCAATGAGGAGGGTGTGAAAGTCCCCCACTATTATTGTATTGTTGTCAATGTGTTTCTTTGCTTTTGTTATTAATTGCCTTATATAATTGGCTGCTCCCATGGTAGGGGCATAGATATTTACAACTGTTAGATTTTCTTGTTGGATAGACCCTTTAAGTAGGATATAGTGTCCTTCCTCATCTTTTATTATAGTCTTTTGTTTAAAATCTAATTTGTCTGATAGAAGGATTGCCACCCAGCTTTCTTTTGGTGTCCATTAGCATGGTAAATAGTTTTCCACCCCCTCACTTTCAATCTGAGGGTGTCTTTGGGTCTAAAATGAGTCTCTTGCAGACAGCATATTGATGGGTCTTGTTTTTTTATCCAATCTGATACCCTGTGTCTTTTGATTGGGGCATTTAGCCCATTTACATTCAGGGTAACTATTGAAAGATAGGAATTTAGTGCCATTGTATTGCCTGTAAGGTGACTGTTACTGTATATTGTCTGTGTTCCTTTCTGGTCTGTGTTACTTTTAGGCTCTCTCTTTGCTCAGAGGACCCCTTTCAATATTTCTTGTAGGGCTGGTTTCGTGTTTGCAAACTCCTTGTTTTTGTTTGTCCTGGAAGCTTTTGATCTCTCCTTCTATTTTCAATGACAGCCTCACTGGATATAGTTTTCTTGGCTGCATATTTTTCTCATTTAGTGCTCTGAAGATATCATGCCAGTCCTTTCTGGCTGCCAGGTCTCTGTGGATAGGTCTGTTGCCAATCTAATGTTTCTACCATTGTAGGTCACAGGCCTCTTCTCCTGAGCTGCTTTCAGGATTTTCTCTTTGTCTCTGAGACTCGTAAGTTTTACTATTAGATTTCAGGGTGTTGACCTATTTTTATTGATTTTGAGGGGGGTTCTCTGTGCCTCCTGGATTTTGATGCCTGTTTCCTTCCCCAAATTAGGGAAGTTCTCTGCTATAATTTGCTCCAATATACCTTCTGCCCCTCTCTCTCTTTCTTCTTTTCTGGGATCCCAATTATTCTAATATTGTTTCATCTTATGGTATCACTTATCTCTCGAATTCTGCCCTCATGATCCAGTAGTTGTTTATCTCACTTTTTCTCAGCTTCTTTATTTTCCATCATTTGGTCTTCTATATCACTAATTCTCTCCTCTGCCTCATTTATCCTAGCAGTTAGAGCCTCCATTTTTGATTGCACCTCATTAATAGCTTTTTTGATTTCGACTTGTTTCGATTTTAGTTCTTTTATTTCTCCAGAAAGGGTTTCTCTAATATCTTCCATGCTTTTTTCAAGCCCAGCTAGTATCTTTAAAATCGTCATTCTGAACTCTAGTTCTGACATCTTACTAATTATTGATTAGGTCCCTTGCAGTCGGTACTGCCTCTTGTTCTTTTTGTTGAGGTGATTTTTTTCCATCTTGTCATTTTGTCCAGAGGAGAATAGATGAATGAGAGAACAAAATGCTAACAGGGTAACAACGTCCCCAGAAAATATACACTAAACAAATCAGAAAAGACCTGAAACCAGGGGGAAAGAAATGGAAAGAAAGAAAAAAGAAAAAAAAAAAGATAAAACCAACCAAAACAAAATAAAACAAAAAAAAAAACCCCAGAATATGATCAAATATGATCAGGCTGGTGCATAGATCAGTGCCACACACTAGATTTTGGGCGTATTTTGGTCTGTTAGAAGAAAGTGCCTCCCAAAATTTTAAAGAAAGAAAAACTTACATATGTACAAAAATAAGGGTTAATACGATGAAGGGATGGAATATGACTGTAAAGATGAAAATTATAAAAGATTTTATAAAAGGAATTGATAAGATAAGAAGTTGGTTGAAAAAAGAAGAGGATTAAAAAAAGGGGGGAGAGAATGTGATTAAGCAGGAGACTAGAACAAAGCCATACACTAGAGATTTAGGGTATATTTTGGTCTGTTAGAAGAAACTGTATCCCAAAATTTTAAAGAGAGAAGAACTTATATGCATATACCAAAAATAAGGTTAAGTACTATGAAGGGATAGAATATGACTCTAAAAATGAAAAATAAAAAAGATTTTTTAAAAAAGGGATTGATAAGATGTTGGTTGAAAAAGGGAAAAAGAAAAATTTAAAAAAAAATTTAAAAATTAACTTTGAAAGACCAAAGAATCATGGGAAAAAAGCCATGAATTCTATGTGCAGTATTCCCCCAGCATTGGAGTTCTGCCGTTCTCATTGATGGGTAAACTTGTCTTGGCTGGCTGTTCTTGCTCATCTTCTGGGGGAGGGGCCTGTTGCCGTGGCTCCCAAATGTCTTTGCTGGAGGCAGAATTGCCCCGCCCTTGCCTGTCCAGTCTAAGGAATCAGCTCGGGTTTGCTCTCGGGAGCTTTTGTTCCCTGCAAGCTTTCTCTACAGCTTTGGAGGCCAAGAGTGCAAATGGCGGCCTCCCAATCTCTGCCCCAGAGGAGCTGAGAACTTGGGGCCCCGCTCCTCAGTGCGTCCCCAGAGAAAAGCAGTGGATCACTCCCGTCTCCCCGGTCTCTGGCCGCGTTCTGTGCTCACCCAGCCTGTGACCGAGCATTTCTATCTCTGGCACCTGACCCGGCATGGAGTCTCCAAACCCCGCAGATCCCTGCGGTGCACTCCTGCACCACTCCTCCCAGGGTAGGAAGGGGAGTCTCCCCAGATCTGCCCCTTGTTGGGTCCCTGCTGGAGGAGCAGTGGCCCGACTGTGCCACAGATCATGATTTATGGCAACGCCGAGCTGAGAGCCCAGGCCTCGGCTCCGTTTCTGTAGCTGGCTTCCCCGCTCTGATACCTGGGAGCTCTGCCGCACTCAGGGACCCCCGGACTTTCTGTGACTCTGAGGGTCCTGAGACCACACTGTCCCATGAGGGTTCCACCCCCCGGCTTAGCCATTGGAGCGACATCCCTCAGCAGAGCCGACTTCTAAATGTTCCGATTTTGTGCCCCGCTGCTCTATCACTTGCCAGAAGTGGCTGATGGAGGACCCCTGCCCCACCTTCTATCTTCCCAAATGTCGCCTCAGATTCACTTCTCTGCACATCCTGCCTTCCAGAAAGTGGTCGCTTTTCTGTTCAGAGAGTTGCTGCTCTTCTTTGCTTCGATCTCCTGTTGCGTTCGTAGGTGTTCAGAATGGTTTGATCCCTATCCAGCTGAATTCCTGGGACCAGATGAAATTTAGGTCTCCTACTCCTCTGCCATCTTGCTCCGCCCCCTCCCGTCCTCTTGATGACCTCTGCCAACAACATCTTACAGAGAATGACTGGTATATAGATACAATGGAATTAAATGAGAATCAGTGACAAAAAGGTGATGACATCCTCACCCAAACATTAAAAAAATTTAAAAACACACATTTAAATAACTCGTGGATGACAGAAGAAATAAGAAGAGAACTTTGAAGATACTTAGAACTCAATGACACTGAAAATACTACTCCTCACCGCTTGTGAGATTTAGCCCTAGATTGTTGATCTGTCTGTCTCCCTCAGGGAAGCTGGGGGGTGGGGCTTCCCCTGTGCCTTAGGCATTTTACTTAGGCCACAGCATTTTTATTTTCTATCGAATGTATGTTCATTTATGAAATAGAACCTAGTACCTATCACTTTGTGAAATTCAAACTGAATTTTTAAGGGTCAGTTATCCACGTCAGATTCTGATTTCAGCTAGAAGTTGTGTGACAATATATGACTGTTGTTAGTCACTGGGAGTCGGGGTTGGAGGAGTGCTGTCTTAGGACTCACTTTGAAGGAGTTTAGAAGTGCCAGTGAATGAAGTTATATGCTGGACACTTTCCCGCCTTCCTTAACAGAATTCCTTGAGAAAACTGAGCTCCAATGGCCAGAGACATTCTTTGTATGTAACAAACGAGTTAACCTCTCTTATGTGTCTGGAATGGATTTTAATTATGTACCATTTGGGGGAATTAAGAAAATAGTCACTTAAATAATTTTCTGCATTTCGTGGTTCAGATGTGGAACCTCAGTTGGAAAAGGCTGTGAGACACAGCCCTGACAATGCAGTAAATCCTGCACTGGCCCTCTGGGCCTTGGGCCCTCACACCTGGGCTCAGCTCAGGTGATCCTAGTCTTGGGGAAGAAGTAGGTGACCAATGATCAAGTAGAGCTGTGTGACAGGCCTAGACCCTGGACTGATGGAGTGCATGCTTGAGACATCCTTGAGCTCATGCTGAAGATTTCCCCTTGGCCTCAGGGCTACCCTTTGTTCTCCCTGCAAATCCTCTCCTTGACTTTGGAGCCAAGTGAAAACCATTCTGTTCTTTAGTATAGAACAGGACAAGTGTACAGGACACGGTTAAGAGTGGCCACTGGACTAAGGTTGAAACTGGAGTAAGAAAACAGAAACGTAGACATGATTCTTAGGGTATCATTTTTAAAATAATAAACACTAGCAACAAGTTCTGACTGTATTGCAAATAACTGTTCTAACAACCACCAGACAAACCACTAGCTTATGTAGATGTGTGGGCTTGTAGCCAAAGCCTTTACCCAACCCATGTTACATCTTAATTATGAGGATCCACAACGGTCTCCTTTAATATACAGAAGACCTCTGCCTTTTGTGGACTCAGTAATCATAATTTAAATGGTCAAAGCGAGGTTCCAAATACCCATGACATGTAGCCCTTAGGGGCTTCCCTGTGGTGCTGAGTTGGGTGAGGTCAGCTGATGGCCAAAAGTCCTAGCATCTCAGCATGACTTTGTAACTCTCTGTGTGGGTATGCATTTTGCAGGAGGAATTATTTGCTAAAATTAAATTTAGTGATTTTTAAGGATTCACAAATATCTCAGGGCAGGCAGGAATCTCCTCTGATCTGATTCTTTCCATCTCCCACCCTCTAGAAATTTCTTAAAGTTCCTAAGCCTACTCCTAATTGCCATGCCATTGAATTTTTTATTTAAATCTGGATTCTTTTTGTCCTCTGTAGTATTTGGCTCAAATGGGCGGTTCCCCATTTTCAAATATCCTCCCTTTTTTGGGTATTTATGATGTTACCTTTTGTGTTCTTTCACTAATTTTCATTGATCTTTCTTTTGCTTTCTTTCTCCTACAGGCAGGCAACCACAGTTTACTCAGATCTCATCAAAGAGGTTCTGCCTGGCTGCCTTCTCCAAAACAACACTTCTCCAGGACATGTCAGCCCTTTTCCCTGCTTTTTTCTTTCTTTTTTTTTTTCTTTCTTTCTTTCTTTCTTTCTTTCTTTCTTTCTTTCTTTCTTTCTTTCTTCTCTTTCTTTCTTTCTTTCTTCTTCTTTCTTTCTTCCTTTCCTCCTTCTTTCTTTCAAGATTTATTTATTTATTTATTTATTTATTTTTTAAAGATTTTTATTTATTTATTTGTCAGAGAGAGAGAGAGAGAGAGAGCACAAGGAGGGGGAGCAGCAGAGGGAGATGGAGAAGCAGACTCCCCGCTGAGCAGGAAGCCCGATGTGGGACTCGATCCCAGGACCCTGGGATCATGACCTGAGCCGAAGGCAGACACTTAACGACTGAGCCACCCAGGCGTCCCGCAAGATTTATTTATTTTAAAGAGACAGCGAGTGCACAGAGGAAGGGCAGAGGGAGAGAATCTCAAACTGACTCCCTGCTAAGCACGGAGCCTGACATGGGGTCCGATCCCAGGACCTTGAAATCATGACCTGAGCTGAAACCAAGAGCTGGATACTTAACTGACTACGCCACTCAGGCTTTCCTCCCTGCTTAATTTTCTCAACAGTACTTAGTACCATCTGATAGATCATTTATGTAGGCATGTATGTATTTTTTGTTTCTTTCACCTTTTCCTCCAGCATATAAACTCCTACAGAGCAGAAGAGTTGTCTTGTTCATTTGTTTGTTTTGTGCTTTATTTCCTCTGCTATATCTCCAGAGCCTGTAACAGTGCTTTACTTGGAATAAGTGCTCAGCAAATAATGAATATACAAAAGAATGTATTTTTCTCTTTATTGTCAGGGGGGTCTGGCTGGAAAGTGCTAGTACTGGCAAATCAGTCAAAGAGATTACTAAAGGTGTGGGCATGGTGTAGCGCAAGTGCAAGGTAAAGGAACCCAGGATTAGTCATAGCAGAGGCTCCATGATCACCCCAGACCTGAAGGAGTGAGAGGAGAAAGCTGTGTGGAGAAGAGACAGAAGTTGCAGTCTTGGCACTCCAAATTCCTCCCCTCTAGGACTGGCTACATAATTTCAGGACCCAATATGAAGTGAAAATGCAGGGCTCCTTAACCCACAATGGGACTGTATTTAGAAACAGAGCTTTTATGGGGCGCCTGGGTGGCTCAGTCATTAGGCATCTGCCTTTGGCTCGGGTCATGGTCCCAGGGTCCTGGGATGGAGCCCCACATCAGGCTCCCTGCTCTGCAGGAAGCCTGCTTCTCCCTCTCCCACTCCCCCTGCTTATGTTCCCGCTATCACTGTCTCTCTCTCTGTCAAATAAATAAATAAAATCTTTTAAAAAAAAATAAAGAGGGAAATTAAGGTTAAATGAGGTCATAAGCTCTTAAACTATATAGAACAAACTGATAGTTACCAGAGGGAAGGTGGGGGGGGGTGGGTTAAATAGGTGATGGTGATTAAGGAGAGCACTTGCTGTGATGAGAATGGGGTGTTGTATGTAGGTGTTGAATCACTAAATTCCACACCCAAAACTAATATTACACTGTATGTTAACTAGCTGGAATTTAAGTAAAAATTTGGGGAAAAAAAAAAGAAAGAAAGAAAGAAAGAAAATGAAGGGCTCCTTGTTCAAAAATGGGCTCTTTATTGTCAGGGGGGTCTGGCTGGAAAGTGCTAGTACAGGCAAATCAGTCAAAAATTATTAAAGATTTCAAGATAGTAACAGTGGAACATTAAGCCAAGCATGAGGTCCTGCTAACAGGGGATCCTGTGTGGTAACACAGGTCACATGGCAATGAAGTTGCCTCTACTCTCCTCCTTCCTTCCAGTCTATCATTGGCCAAATCTGATTCCAAATCCAGAACTCAAAGAAGCCCATTTGCTGAATGCCTGATTCCTGGGGACACAGAGCTGAGTAAAGAAGGTGAAGTTTGGATCTGGGGAGCAGGAAAAAGATATTAAGCCCAGATAAGTGTAGAAAATATGTATCTCTATAACCTTCTATGTGTGCATGACAGAGGGTGAAGAAGGTATAAGACACTTTGGGATTAGTCACTGATGATTAAGTATAGGCACATTTGCAATATGACTAAAGAATAAATACAAATACTAAATAAGTAGTATTGAGAAGGAAAAGTAAATAATAACCACAAGGTTTCACATGCATCATTGGCTTTGGGGTCTGGCCAACCTCTGTCCCAATACTGGGCTTGACTTTTAGTAGCTGTGTAATGATAAGAAAATCGCTCGTTTTTATTGCTCCAGAGTCTGTAAAGCAGAGATAACAGTTACTTCAGAATTTGTTGTGGGCTAAATTAAAGGATGTCCCTAGCACCCAGTAGGTATTTAATAAATGTCGGAGAATAGAAGAATATTGAGGTCACAGACAGAAATGGATGAGTTGGGGAAAGGTCTTTCTAGTTCTGTGGATTTCTGGAAAAAGGGAAGAGTTTGAGAACTCTGATGGTTAAGAGGTTTTCTCTAAAGGCATCATAAATGGCCACTTCTGCAGAGTATAGCCATTTTTCAGAGAATGCTATTTTATTTCCCTGCTGGGCTTGACAGAAAGGATAGAGACTTTGTAGGCAGGCAGATGTGGTTTCACATTCCGTCTCCACCAACGATTAGTGGCAAGTTGTGTTAAGTCCTCTGAGCCAGAGTTTTCTGTTACAAAATGCTGTATCACTGTAAGAATTTATGAGATAATGTTGATAGTGTACCAAAGAAATGCTCAAATTTCTATCTGATCTGCCACTCTTTTTCAGTTGAGCTAGACTTAGGAATCAATTTCTTTTTCCCTTCTTCCCTAAAGCTTAAAGCAGTCCCCATCTCTAGCAGCCAGCTCTGTGGTTCTTTTCTGTGGGTTTCACCCTTGTCCCCTGGGCCTTCCTTGTCACGGAAGTCTCAGCAGGAGAGTGGAGAGAGGAAGAAAAGAACAAGAACCTGCATTCACTTCTGCAGGAAAGCTCTAGTGCCTCATTGGCTTTCACTCAGACCTGTGTTTAAACTTCTCCACCTTGGGAATGAAGAAAGCAAAAGAGGAAGCTTTGTGCTTCCCTTCAGAGAGTGTATGAGGTGAGCAGAATGTGTCTAGTAGGTTGAATAATGCCCGCCCCCCCCACCCAAGATATCCCCAAGGCCTGCAAATGTGACCTTATTTGGCAAATGAATCTTTGCAGAGATAATTAAATTAAAGATCTCCAGATGAGCTCCTTCTAGATACTCTGGGTGAGCCCTAAATCCAATAGCAAGTGTTTTTATAAGAGACACAGGGAGGATAGACATGGAGAGAAGGCCATGGACATATGGAGGCAGGGATTAGAGCCATGGTGTCCACCAGCAGCTGGAAGAGATAAGGAAGGATTTGGAGGGGGCATGACCTGACACCACCTTGATTCCATACTTCTGGACTCCAGAACTGTGAGAGAACAGATTTCTATTATTTTAAGCCATCGAGTTTGTGGATATTTGTTACAAGCAGCTCTAAGTATCAATACAGTATCCAATCAACAGCAATCATTAAGAGTATACATACTACTAAGAACAATAGCTGCTCCGTGTTGAGCATGAATGGAAGTTTCTGGAAGCTGCAAGTGAAGAGCTGGCTTCTTATGCTATTCCCAACATGTCCGCCTGACTGTGGTATGATAAAACACATATTTGGTCTTTGGCCCTGTTCCCGGCCTGAGAATTTCCTGACGAAACCCTGAGAATTTCCTGAGTGGTTAAGAGTATTTTTTTGTCCTAATGAGTTCGCCCCTAAATAGTGTTGGGATGAGGTCCAGATGCCAGAAAAACTGGCCATGCGATTAGGGGCTTAGAACTTTCAGACCTGCCACCCACCCACTGCTGAGAGATTAGTCCAATGGCTAAGGATTTAATCAACCATGTCTGTATAATGGAACTTCCACAAAAATCCCTAAACAAGGGGGCGGGGGTTGAGGAGTTTCTGAGTTGGTGAACTCATCAAAGTGCTGTGGGGGTGACACATCTGGAGATCCAGGGAAACTCTGCATGTGCACCGCCCCCACCCTCACCCCCACCCCTTGCTCTATGCTTCTCTTCATGGGCTGTTCCTGAGTTGTAGCCTGCGCAATAAACTGGTAGTCATTCAGTAAAGTGTCTTCCTGAGTTCCGTGAGTTATTCTAGCAAATCATGGAATCTGAGGAAGGGTTTGTGGGAGCCCCAATTTATGGTGTGTCTGTCAGAAGGATGGGTGGTCCTCGGGGACATGTGACCAGTGCCCGGAGTGGGGACAGTCCTGTGGGACTGAGCCCTTACCCTCTCAGGTCCATGCTAACTCTGGGTAGCTAGGGCAAGAAGCTAGGGCAATTGAATTGTTGGTCACCTAGTCGGTGTCAGAGGGTTGGTTGTTGGTGTTGGAAAGGACATTACATATTTGGTGTGGGGAAGACCAAAGTCCCACATTGACTTTTGTTTTATTTTTCTTTTTTGCTTTTAACAAAAGCACTGCACCAATTTTTCAAAGATATAGATAACTGCTAGGTCATAGTTTTGTTGGCCTTTCCTAATTTACTAGAAGAGTGGGCATTCCTGCTTCACTTTAGCTGATCCCCAGGTTTGGACCCTTCTCTTAGGAATTTGTCATGGACGTATGTCAGCTCTCTGTGCCTCCCTTGGAAAACCCAGCTTTGCTGCCCCTTCTAGTTCATTGTTTCTGTGCTTTGGCCTTGATATTTAATATTGCGGAGGTCGGCTCCTGGTGAATCACCTATATGTGCTTTTTTTCAGGCCTGACCAGAGGCCATTACAAAGGCTCATGGGGAAAGCTGTCCTCTCCACGCCAGCCTGGGTGCCCGGCCCGTGCACTGCGTCTCTGGAGGGAGGTATAGGCAAGGACCCGGGCAGTCCTGCTCTTTGCCTACTATCATTCCTAGCCCTGGTGCCTTTATTCCCAGGTCTCTCTATGTGAGACCTTGGCCAGAGGTCCTCTTCCAGTGCCTCTGGAGGAGGCCTCCTTACCTGCAGGAGGAGGAGAAAGAAGCCCTCAAGATACTTTCCTCCACTCTGATTCAGTACCGAGTACTTTCTCACTCCTGGCCCTTCTCCCTCACCTCGTACTTTTCCACTCCTGGCCCTTCTCCCTCACCTCCACTTGACCCCAGAGTCCATAGGACGGCCAGAGCCTTTTGTCTGGGGCTCCTTCAACAGTGAGAAACTCCACATCTTTGCTGATCCACCCGACTCTCAACTGGTGTGTTGTTCCATGGGGGGAAATGGACAGGGGGAGGCAGAGTTTTCTCTGGTTTGGGACTCTTGCTCATATCATCACTGTAAGTGGTCAGAGCCTTGATTCTTTCACTTTTGGCTTATTGCTTTAGTCAGCCACCCTGGCAACAGGCAGCTCAGCTGTTTTTTTCAGCCCAGCCCAGTTCCTGACAAATTTCAAGTCACTGTAAACCAAACGGTAGTTAAAAATGAAATCTACTAAACCATGGTTTCCTTTCATCAACATATGTGAAGTGCCTACTGTTTTCCAGGCACTGTGCTAGGCTCTGTGATGCAGAGATGATGGGACCAAAGTCTCTGCCTTTGAGGAGTTCATGGTCCAAAGGGGCCTAGAAGGTAAACAGTCCATTTCAACAGTGTGGTAAGTGCTTTAGGGGCACAGAGGATGGGCACTAAGGCAGATGTTGGCGGGGGGGGGGGGGGGGGGAATTTCCTTCTACCCCTAGTAATTAAATAGACACAAATCAGGTTAACAGGAGAAAAAAAAAATTTAATTTAATTTTGTATATATGGGGGCCTCAAAGATATGACACCCAAGGTGTTTATATACCTTTTAGACAAAGAAACACTAAATTTGTTAAGTCAGTCAGAGAAAGATGATTATCATATGATCTCACTCATATATGGAATTTAAGAAACAAAACAGATGAACATAGGGGAAGGGAGTGAAAAATAAAATAAGACAAAATTAGAGAGGGAGACAAACCATAAGAGACTCTTAAGCATAGGAAACAAACTAGGGGTTGCTGGAGGGGAAGGGGTGGGGGGATGGAGTAACTGGGTGATGGGCATTAAGGAGGGCATGTGGGTGTTATATGCAACTGACGAATCACTGAACTCTACCTCCGAAACTAATAATACACTATATGTTAGCTAACTTGAATTTAAATTAAAAAAAAAAAGAAAAAAGAAACAATAAATTTGCGAAGAACTGTCAGACAGAAACGTCAGCTTGGGTAATAATTAATGAAGAAACCAAGGAGATTTTGTTTACACAACCTTCTCCGCCCTCAACTCCCTATCTCTGGTGATAAAAAGGTCTCTTTACCTTCCCCGGGCAGGGAGGCTACCTTTCTCAGGAGAGATTTATTTCTTGCTTTTAGGGGGACAGAGAGGGGGAGTCAGAGTGTCCTTCTTGCACTGGCTGTTTCTCAAATAACTTTCATTCAAAAGAATCAATATGCCAAAGTGGCATATTCTGGGGTGGCCCGCCCTGAACCCCAAAACATGGAAGGGAAGGGCACGCTTCAAGGAGTCCTGCAAGAGAAGGTCGTATCTGAGGTGAATCTCAAAATGTAAGTGAAGAATGTGGGAGAGATGTGAGAACAGAAGACCCCACTGATTAGACAGCAACAGCTAACAGACCAGAGGGGTGCCCTCATGTCAAGAGACAAAAACTAAAATTTTAATCAGGCTGAATGACCGTGGGGAACAAAACCAGTCAGCACAGCTTGAGATGACAAATTTCACAAAATTCAGCAAAATTCCTGGAAAGACCCCTACAACACATCTTAATCACGCTCCCTAGTGGCTGCCACATCCTGAGACCGCCACCAGAGATAGTGGGCTGTATCCTGCTTGTCATGCACTCCTGCAGTTTGGCACCTGAGTCTGACCAACCCCGATAAAGGGCACAGACTTTGTGGATTTTTCCTGTTTAACCCCGACCCTAACCCTCCCCCTTTGGAGGGTACGTTTCAGTTTGTAGCCAAAGGCTGTGTGTCTCCCCACATTGGCAGACTCCGTGGCAAAAAAAACTTGCCCTTGCTTCTGACCAACTCTGCATTTCAGGAATCTTTGTTGACCGAGTCCTAGGCAGTGGAATCAGCACAAAAAAGGTCATTATCCATATCAGCAGTGAAATCATCAACCTATGTTATTGATTGCCTCCTACATATCGTTCATGGGATGGGTTTTCTGCTTGGGTTTAGTTTTTTGTTTTTGTTCCTTTTTCTCAGAACACCATAGCTTCCTTCTCACTGGGACGCTCACAGCCCAGTGGGTGGTGGCGTAGGGCATGTACACAGGAAAATGAAGCGGATGATCCTGGAGAACTTGGAGCCGTGTGAGGAGGCCGCCGTGTTTGTGAGGTGCACGCGACAGAGGCCTCTGGGGGGATTCTGGCAAACAGGGCACTGTTTTGCTGTGGCGTTTTGCTGAAACAGGTCTCTGTGTGACGATCCAGGTATCATTCCGCAGTATCCTGGTTTTGTGGCCTGTAAGCCCATTTCTTGGGCTTTTCCAGAGACGGGGGAAGTCCATCACGTGAGGAACCCTGCTCTCTACCCGTTTTGTTCCCGAGCTGAACGGGTGACTGGGGAGTCTAGGGTCCCCTAGGAGCTGCGGAAGCCTTTGTGCAATCCTACTCTTACAAAACATCCCTTTTTTCACAAACCACAAGATCTGATTTATTTGTTTTCAAAGAAATATAGAACTCACAGTGATAAATCATGTTTTTTGGTAAACAATGTAAATAGTGAAGTCATGCATCTGCCCAACAATAAGCCAGGAGCTCTATCTTAATACATCAAATAATTTGACATTGGAATAATCTCCACAAGGTTAAATTGCAATTATTTATAGGTATAGGATAAAATGTATTTTCACTGAGATTGCATTGTATGGTATATGTGTATGTGTAAGCACATGCATAAAGCCTTATATTCTGTAAAAGTACAGAAGAAAGATAATGGCATCTTTAGCAAACGTGAAAATGTGCCGTGACTGCAGATACAAAGTCTTTCTCCATGGGTTCTAGACCGGAAATTCTTCTCTTTCTGGAATGGTTAACTTATCACCACTTGATGGAACAAGGTCATTTTCAGAACACATCATCCAACATCTATCTGGCTTATCATCTGCGGGCTGGATAAAAATGCGTGGGAGTCAGGCACAAAGGGCACAATTTCCCACATTACTTTTGTTATTGTTCTTTTTTTTTCAGTTACCAAAATAAAGCTATATGGTCATTAAGCAGATGCTCTCAGACAGGAATGTATTAGTACTATAACAGCTTTTTTCATAAAAGTGAAAATCCTCTTTGAATTTCCTTTGGTTGGTGAAAACAGGTATGAATATAGGAGGTCTTTTGTAAAAGCAAGCAGCATTAGCTCGAACTTTTGGAAAGCAGGGGATACTCTTGTTACTTGTTTTATCAACTCAGACGTTATCTGACTTCCTACTAAGACAGATGGAAAGTCAGCTCACCTGTAACACTGTCTTGTTCTCTTGCCTCCTTCTATTACCAAGGGGATCAGTGCCTGTATTGGTCACCACTGTAACTTCAAACAGATGTCACTTCTGAGTCCTTCAACTTATAAGCTAATTTTCTTAGGGTTTCACTCTTTCCTCTGACTTTCTTTCAAGAACTGATTAAATATTTTGTAAAATGTCCCTCGATTTGAATTTGTCTGATATTTTCTTATGATTAGATTGAGGTTCTATTTTAGGGAAGAATATCACATGTGTGATGGGACCCTCTCTGTGCATCATATCATGGGGTATATAATGTTAATGTGTCTTAATACTGGTGAAGTTAGTCTTAATCGTCTGATTGAGGTGGTGTCTGAGTTCTGCTTTAGATCACTAGTTTTTCCGTTGTACCAAATATCTGAGGGGAGATACTTTGCAACTATGCAAGTACTGTTTTTCTTTAAATCTTCACCCATCAATTTTAGCAGTAATTTCAGATGCTGCCTGAAACAATTATTACTCTGGTGTTCTCCAAGTCATTCTCATTTTTCTTCATTTCCTTTTTTTTTTTTTTTAAAGATTTTATTTATTTATTTGACAGAGAGAGACATAGCGAGAGAGGGAACACAAGCAGGGGGAGTGGGAGAGGGAGAAGCAGGCTTCCTGCTGAGCAGGGAGCCCAATGCGGGGCTTGATCCCAGGACCCTGGGATCATGACCTGAGCTGAAGGCAGACGCTTAACAACTGAGCCACCCAGGTGCCCCATTTTTCATTTCTTCTACATTTATTAATTGGATTCTCCTCTAAGGAAGAATTGTCTCTTCTCCATAGTTTATATATTTAATCAGCTATTTATAGCAGTATGGAATCATGGATATTTACTTTATTCTTTAAGTTATAATAGAAAACTTCACTATTTTTTAGTTGCTAAATTTCTTCCAGGTTTGACTCTTGGGAGTTCCTTCAGTTGGTTGCTGTGTCATTTTGACATGACCACAACTTCTTTTTTTTGTCCTCTGAGCACTTCATTACAACACAAAATCCTCTAGGCTTACTTTGTATTTTTCCTGCCCTCACCTTGAAATCAATCACTTCTCCAAGGAGCTCCAATTGCTTTTGTGAATGGGGTTTACAACCCATAATCTGGACACTAGTTATGTTCATTGCTATTGGGTATCACCACTTCTAGGTCCTAGCAGTTGGTTAGTATATAGACATATATACATCTATCTATCTATCTACCTATCTCTATCTTAAAAATCAACATGATTATTCATAGTGATACCTCTGATCCAATCTAGCTCTTCAAGGGTAATTCTAACATTACCTCTTTATTTATAACTTCTTTCTCTGAATGTGAAACCAGTTGTTCATATCTAAAATATATTTCCTTATATACCCAAATTTAGTATCTGTTCAAAGGAGTTTCAAAATTTCTAACCCATCCATGCTTTTCTAAAGAACAAACCAATCAACTAGACCACAGTGTTTTGTACAGTTGTTTTGTTTTTAGCCTTACAACATCTCAAAACACTGTTTTCCAAAGTTACTTCTGTTAGCTCCTTTCTTTACCACCTTCTTTAGTGAGATTATGCCATTCTGTAGAACACATTTGTTTGTCACAGTCTGCATTCCATCTTGGGTTCAATCTACATCTGGTTGCATTTTAAAAAAACTGCTCACAGTAAAAGTCTTTCCTTTGTGCAACACAGTCTTGGCGTTTTGACAAATGCACAGAATCATGTATTTACCATCACAGTATCAAATAGGACAGTTACAAGCCTGCCCACCTCACCCCAGTTCATTTGTTCTATCCTTTTGTAGTCAACCCCCCCTCCACACAATTGGCAACCATTTTCCCTTTGCCAGAATATCATATGAATGAAATCATACAATATAGAGTCTTTTGGGTCTGGCTTCTTTCACTTAAGATGTTGCATTTAAGATTCATCCATGTTGTCATGTGAAACAGTAGTTCATTATTTTTTATTACTGGGTAGTATTTCATTGAATGGCTTTCCTATTGTTCCTTGATCAGTCCACCTATTGAAAAAAATCTCAGTTGTTTCCAGTTTTGGTGGTTATGAATGAAGCTAATATAAACATTCAGAAACATGTATTTGTGTGAATGTAGTTCTCATTTCATTTGTATAATTACAGATTAGGAGTGGGATTGTTGGGCCCTATGGTAAATGTTTAACTTTATAAAACCTGCCAAACTATTTTCCAAAGTTTCTGTACCATTTTACATTGTTGCCAACAATGTGTGAGTTTCATTTGTTCTACATCCTTGTCAGCACTTGATACTGTCAGATTTTTAATTTCAGCCATTTTAATATATGTGGTGTTATCTCATTGTGACTTTAATAAATTTTTACTAATGACTAATGATGCTTTACATCTTTTCATATACTTTTTTCATTTTTATATCTCCTTTGGTGCAAAGTCAAAAAGCAAATCAAAATAAAGCTGCAATTTTTCTAAATCTGTGCTGTCCAACAGGAAACTGAAATCAAGAAGGTAAACACAAGACTGGTTTTAAAACAATTAAAAATAGGAAAAAATTTTTTGACTTTTTTATATTGCATTTCCAGTCTTACTCGTTTCTTTTTAAAGAGCCAAGTTTCTATCTGGTATCATATTCATTTAACATGCATTGTAGAGTAGGTCTACTGGCAATAAATTCTCATATTCTTTTTTTGAGAAAGTATTTTTTTATTCACTTTTGATTTTTTTTTTTTTTTGGCTGGGTATAGAATTCTATTTTTCTTTCTTCAGCCCTTTAAAGATGTCCTTTTATTGTCTTATAGTTTGCATAGTTTCAGAAGACAAGTTGGCTGTAATTTTTAACTTTGTTCTTCTGTGTGTAATGTGTGTCTCTCTCCTCATCCCCTCACCCCCACCAACCCCACACTACCTTTACAATTTTTTCTTTGTTCTCAGCAGTTTGAATGTAAGTGTAGTTTGGGGCATTTATCCTGTTTGGTGTTCTTTGTTATCTTGGATCTGTGATTTGGTGTCTGTCATTACATTTGGTCAATTTTCAGTCATTATTTTTTCAAATGTTTCTTCTGCATTGTTGTATATTTAGGATTCCATTTACACACCTGAGGCCATTTGATATTGTCCCACAGTTCTTAGTAGTTCTGTTTTGATTTATTTACTTTTTCTCTTTGGCTAGTTTGCAGAATTTCTTTAATGCTACATTCAAGTACATAGATTCTTTCCTCAGCTAGTCTAGTAATGAGCCATTAAAGACATCCTTTCTCTCTGTCACTATGCTTCTTATTTGTAGTATTTCCATTTGATTCTTTCCTGTTGCTTCCAGCTGTGTGCTGAATTGCCCATCTGAACTTACATGTTGCTCGTGTTTTCCTTCAGAGCTTTTTACATACTAATTATAGTTGTCTAAAATTCCCCATTAGATAGTTTCAACACCTATGTCATGTGTGTATCTGGGTATCTCTTGAGAGAGTGAATAAATCCTCTTGCTCTCTCACTTAATCTATAATTTCCTCTCGTTTCTCTGAAAAAGTATGTCCCCGAGTTTTTGGCATTCTAAAGTGATGCTGTTGAATTAGTAATGACTAGTGATATGTGATTATTAAGCACTCTAAATATGATTAGGTTGAATTGAGATGTTCTGTAACTAAAATATACACTGCTTTCAAAGGCTTACCACAAAAAAAGAAAAATATCTAAATAATTTTATATTGATTTCATGCAGAAATAACACTTTGAATATACTGACTTAATTAAAGATATTATTAAAGTAAGTTACCTGTTTCTTTTTTAAAATGTGACTATTAGAATATTTAAATTGCATATGTAAAAGGAGATCTAAATAAATGGCAAGACATACCATGTTCATAGATTGGAAGACTCAACATAGCCTAGGTGTCAGTTCTCCCGAAACTGACATATTGGTTTGATGCAAATGATATCAAAACCCTCACAAGTTTTATTAGAGCTGTATATAAGCTTATTCTAAAAGTTATATGCTAAGGCAAAAAAACTGTAATAGCTGAAACAATTTTGCAAAAGGATAAAGTGGGATGAAGTACTCCACCTGATTTTAAGATTTATTACACAGCTACAATAATCAAGACTATGTGCCATGGGATGAGGGATAAGATGACTCATAGATCAATGGCATAAAATAGAAAACCCAGAAACAGAATCACCCAAGTATGGACAGTTGATTTTGACAAAGTTGCAAAGCAGTTTTGGTTCAAAAGTTAAAAAATGCTGGGTCTGACTTGCCTTCTTTTGTTGAGTGGAGAAGAGTAAGACACTCTGTTGCAATGTTGTTCTGGCAGTCTTGGGGTCCCTAAAAAGTCTGTTTTCCTCTTCCCATCCTCCTTGGTTCTACTTTACTTGTGTCTTGCATTGTATCATGGATTTACAGTTGTACTGAGAGAGAAAGATCGGGGAGAAATGAATCTATGCCATCTTATCTGGACCAGATGCCCTCTTGTTCTTTTTTTGCAACTTGCTATGAATGTGTTATTTTTTCAAAATAAAAAGCTAAGAAATGTCCATATGAGGCTGACATATTTCTATTGGGCTGCATTGAGTGGTTCCATTGAATGGTTAATGTAACTCATAGCTGAGCCCTTTAAAATTGCAATGGAAATTATTGGTTTCCTCCTCTACTCCTTCCTCTGCTTTACTTCTGGCATCTCTTTCCAATGGGATATTATGTTGAAGACTTTATATCAACATAGTTTCTATTTTCTCTGCCATTCGGAGGCTTTCAAAATATTTACAAGGTCATTTCCTGCTTGATCATCGCCTCAATCTGGTCACCTAATCAGCAGCCAGGCTTTTAGGATATGATATTAACTTGGAGGGAAATCTCTTTCCTGCTTGAGGTCTGAGGAAGTAAGAGCTGCTCAAGGTTTCTCCTTTATTTTATCCCAGATATCAGTTTTAGAACAGGTATGCTGTTCTACATGTTGTATATTTAAAAATCACTCATCTTTAATTGAAATTGAAGTTTAAAATCTTGAGTATTTGTTTCTTTAGTTGTCTCCTCTATAATTTGTTATTTTCATTGTTTTCTAGGGGAATTATAAAAAAAGAATAAGGTAAAATTGCCTTTCTCATTTAAATTCTAATTCCTTTTTTGATACTGGATATCTGGAACTAAACAGAGAAAACACATAGCTTTGATTTAGTTGTATTACTACTAAAATATTTTTAAGTCAGATCATGCATGTTTCAAGAGGAGTATATATCAAAGGTATAAAATAATTGATTCTAGGATTTCCTGTATTCCTCTTGAATTTATTTCTTGTTTCCACACAGTACTTCCTCTTGTACTTTTTTCACATAGAATTCATGGGTTACAAACTTTCTAAGCTATCTTGCATGTATGCAAATAATTCTTGCTTTATAAGCATATTTCTTTGGAATTGTGAAGCCATTGCCGCAGAGACGCTGAGGCACAAATTACAAACCTCCAGATTCCAGGTAAGGACTCTTGCTGCATATGAAGGGCTAAACCTATAAATCAGGAGAGACTTTATTATTTTTGATTTTACGCCTTTCCAGGTGATGGAAAAAACATAACGTGTTTTCTGATCTCTGGAGTGGTTTTTGTGGTGGGGTGGGGGTGGAGGGTGGGAAGAGTAATGTGGTCGAAGCAGTTTAGTTCAGATTAGTGCCAGGAGCGTTACATTCTTGCCTTTCTGATTCTAATCTACTCCACACTGCCTTTTGTCATTTCCCCCGAGATTTCAAGCAAATGATTTATTCTGGGGTACCATAAGAAGGGGGGCAGAAGATGACTGCTGGATGGCAGGAAGGGGATATTTGCAGAGTTTCAAGTACTTTGTCTTTACCAGTAAATAAGATCTGACCTTTACCTCAGACTGGAGACAGATGTAGGCCCTGTCTCCCATGGTAGAAGGCTAGGCATAACATCCCCTCGGGCGTAGCTGGAGATACTGAACATCCAAGTTCGTAGCCCTGAACAACAATCCTGGCTTTGCCTTGCTTCCGTGCTGGGGACTGTAATCCTTTGTCCAGCAAGCACAAGATGGCCGCTAGCGCATTTCAGGAAAATGGCTGGAGTCGCTGGAAACACATACACAGACTCAGGACATTTTTAACTTTTATTCCTGCCTCCCATATAGCATGTTTTCTGCAAAAATTATGAGTTAAATATAATTTAATGGAGATAGGGTATTTAAAATATAATCGTGACCATTCAAAAACTCTCATGAATACAGAAGGAAAAAGAGCCAGCAAACAAACCAAAACAAAACCAAAACAAAATAAATGAAATAAGAACACAATCTCTTCAACGTGGAGACAGTCCATCCATTCTTCTTTCCCAGGGGGACGTTCCCTGGAGCCACTGCTGAGATCAGACTCCAGAGTAGAAGGTAATTTTTGCACCGAGAGTGCACATCTGATTCACAGAAGCAAGTCTATGTTCCAGCCAAGGCAGCCAAGGCTAAGCAGAGCGCAGCTAAGTCTTCGGTCGCTTTGAGGGCCCCGGGACACTTGAGGCCGCTGCCGGAGTGCAGCTCTACTTAGTTCGCTTGTGTGTTCTCATTGTCGGTCGTGTTCAGCTGCAGGTATTCCAGAGTGCCCCTTTTGTAGCTGGCCACCCGTGTGGGTTTTCGGCATCTTATCCCCGCCGCCTGCCTTTTCTGTAAAGAGTTGGCGAGCATGTCAGAAAATTCAGCTTGTAAGCGCTGCTGATTCTCCCTGGAAAGAGAGTGCGGAGGGAAAATGGAACTTCTCAGCAATTCATACAGAATATTCCATCGCTCCAGAACAATCAGTTCTGTTTACCAAACACTTAATGAGTGCTTAGTCCGTGCTAAACACGGGAAGTCCAGAGAATACAGAATGAGCCTTGCTTTTGATGGGCTTACAAGAGCTGTCATCCCTGCTCTGTGCATTTGTGGAAAAAGCAGGATACATTTCAAGCAGAAAATTCTATTTCAACTTCCGAGTGGAATGGCATGCTGCTTGGATTTGGAAGCACGGTTAGGTTTCCACATGCCACTTCAGGGAGGGCAAACAAAGCCAGGACAATGCGAGGCCCCTGTGACCCAACCCTGAGGACTTGGGTCCCACACATTCTGGGGTGTGGATCTTGTTTGGGGAGGCCTCCAAAGGGATGGAGGGTTTCAAGAGTCTGGAATGGACCTGGGTGCTCCAATAATGGGCTGGCTCCCCTGTGGCCCAGGGAAGATCTTGCTTGTGTTCGCTTCTCTACAGGCTCACCATCTATCTGGGTCCAGCATCTGGGAGTCTGCAAGATAGGGTCTCTCTACCATAGCAAAAGCCACCCCAGCAGCCATGCGACTGATTGCAGCAACCAAATGTGCAACGGGGTGACCCTGTTGGTCACCATGAAGGGAACTGAAACCTGTTCGTTAGACCTGAAACCTGGCCTTCCTCATCTCTGGGAGAA